AAGTTATGTACAACGCAAGTAGTTCCTATTTGTTTTTTCAATCAAGGAAAAAACATTTTTTAGTAAATTTTATTATATGGATTATTTCGTGCTACTGTTTATTTTTTATGTGAATATTAGAGTTATTACTTTGAATGCATTAACAGTTTACAATTGTTATTATGAACATCATATTTTTAAGTATTTTTATGATATTAGCACGAATATTTATTGTGTAGAAGTATTGAAACTTACATAATTTAGAGACTTATACAAAATAAAGAAGCGATTTGTACCATGAAAAATCTTTTGTAAGATTGATTTATTGAAAAATACTAATTTCAGTTAATATTTCCTAAATACTTAAATTTAAGAATTTACACTTGATATTGAAAAAAAAGTTATTCAAACTTTGATAATCACTTTGGTTCTTGCGATGCCCAAAATTATTCTTTTCTTTTTCTACGAGTGATGTGAAAATATAGATTGAACATGAATTTTATCAATCCTCAATATAGGATACGATTTCATGTTTTGCTTTTACAGGAAAGCACGATTGGTTCTGGAAATTCATTTCGTGACGAGTTTCGCCAGATCGACTTTTCAACTTCAGACTCTCCTCATTCAGCTGTTTACTACGGAAATAACCAAGATTCATTTCACAGAGACTCTATGAACATAGAAATGAGTTCTTATAACAGAAACATGTCCCTAAACTGCACACAGCCAAGGAACAATAAGTCAAACTCACTAAGCTCTCGAGCTTTCACTGGGTCATTTAAGCAGCAATGCAGAAACGATTTGTATGACTGTTCAATGAGTGAGGAGCATCAAACACCCGAACGTGACATAAGCTTTGTGGTAAAATGGCTTATTAACACATTTTATTGGTTATTGAATTTCGCGTATGTCAAAATTTTTAATACCTTGCATGTAATGCAATTTCATTGGAAATTTAGTATTTTTAGTAAGGTTTTAAAGTTGATTTTCATAATAACTAAGTATTCTTACATATTAGCTCGTTCTAATAAATAAAAAAAGTTCTGATGACTTAAATATTTGAGTTTCAACGTACTTTTTCATTTTCAGTTGTATACTTCAACAAAAAAACAGTCACGTCCTTGCAACATTATTTACCGAATAAAGCCAGTAGAGAACTCGAAAAAGAAAGGGTGGAAACTGTTGAGCTGGTTACCAGGCCTAAAAAATATCGGAGCCTCACGTGTTATGACCAGACCATCTCAGGATGTTGCTGTTGATCTATATCAATATCAAGAGCAGCAACAACAATCAAAAGATTACAATATGCAGTTACATTCGTTCAAAAGAAGAGATGAGTCTTGTCGACCTGTATGATAGAAAAGCACAGATGGTGATTTAAAGATTCATAAAAAATTTTGGCTGTGACTTGCAAATTTATTTTGATTCATTAAAATAAGAACCGAGTAATAACGCAAACACCCTCTTTTCTAATTGTAAATATTGTACTATTACACTAAACGTGTTTAACGCTGTGAACTTTATTAGTTTCTAGTTTTATGCTTTCTTTGTATTTTTTTATTTTGTATGCCCTGATCATGAAGTAAGAAAATTGTTATTCAAGATTTAAGTATGTATAAATGAGTTAATGCTAAATTTTTAATCGATGAAATGATTGAAAAACACGAATTAATTTTAATTTTATGAGTTGTTTACAAATTGAGTGTCAAACTACTTGAAAACAAAGTAATGCTAAGCATAAGTATACATATATTTTTTTAAGATAAAATGTAAGTAAGTGATGTAATAGACTATACAGCACTTATTTTTTTACCATGAATGGTTGGAACACTTTTGAACTGCACTTTACGAAGGCTATAAAAAATTATATTGTTTTATTACGGATAAAATTGTTTAAAACGAACTTAGATTCAAACATAAGAAAAATTTCTTGATGTTTTTTGGGTATTATGACATTCACTGTAATCTGATTAAAATATTGAATAAATTTAAATACTTGGGTAGTAGTTCATAGTAAATGTGTAAACTTTTTTAGTGAATGATTTGTGTACTCAAACTAATAAACGAAAATCTATAGGTCTAAGTCCAAGGCTTAGCCTTAATCTTTATTACTGAAAGTTCAAATACGTTATACCTGATTTATGAGGATTAAGGCACAACAATAAAAGTTACTATTGTTGTGTAAAGTTTAAAAAACTGTTTTCTACCACTCTCTTGCGTGTGTGACTTATGTTTTTGTGGAAAATAAAAATACTAAAAATAGCTTTTACCCAATTGCCTTAGTTAATTTATGTTGTGCCCATTTTTACTTGCTGAATTTTGTATAAATGTAAGATCATAAATGAAGAAATATACATCAACTTTTTATCAACGAGATAATTTCGAATTATTAATCTTACTTTTATTTATGCTGAAACATATCGCAAGGTTTGAAACATATTTTTTACATTCTTTGAAGGTAACATAATCTAAGCCTAGATCATCTAACAAAATCTCCCTATTGATGTTCGAATGGAATCAATGTAAAGTTGACAATACTGGCCCAATGATTATTAATTAATATGTAATTAAAAGATTTACCAATACATTCATGTAACTTAAAAAATCTACGTACTTAAAAATTGTGTATAAAATAAAATTGAGGTATCAGTGAAAGTCCACGCATTAAGCAGATCATTACTCTTGCGTAAAATGCTTTTCAATTCATCAAACAACAAGTTTGTCTGAAATTTTATTAGAATTACAGCTTAAATTTAAAATCATAATAACTGTGATTAAGGTCGAAGCAAAACACTCGACACGTACATAAAATACATTCACGAATACTCACATTAAAACGTTACAAACATCATACATTTTTACTTACTGGTTATAGTAATGAAAGTTGTCTCTTCATTCCAGGAAACACTGGCAAGAAGCTGTAGGATGTCTCGTACACGCGACAAACGTTCATATTTGATTTTGTCACGGTCACAACAACGTAATCATGGTACTTGTCCCTCCAAGACTACCGGATTAAGTCTTGGCACTGCTTTGGTGCAGGTAAGACATTTACTCGTCTCTGCGTTTCAGCATGAATTCATACATAGGTAACTTACTTTCTATTTGTTGGAAGTACAACGGAGAGTTTGATATTCTTTGTGAAGATATTTGACCCTAATATTATACAATTTGCACTTTAACACAAAATGTCATAATCATCTATCCATAGCAAAATCCCGTTATTATACCTTAAAATATGCTTCATTGGAAGAAACATTCAAAAAATGATTGACTTGCATAAAACAAGTAGAGAATATTAAAAATTTATTCTTAAGTTTCTAATTTTTTAAACTATACTTAAAAAAAAAAAAATATTATAAATATAAAACCAAGTAAATGTAAGTGCACCNAGGATAAAGTAGGGGAAGGAAGAGACTTTGACTGTCAACGAAATGCCATTGTTCAAAATTTACTTCCCATAAAATCGAGAGCATTATATGAATATGCATACGCTCGATTCTTACAATGGAAGCATAAAAACAAGGACCTAATTATTTAACTCTTTTAATGAATGTGTTTCGAAATGTAATAATTTCAATAGTTTATTATACAAGATTGATAAAAATGAAGAACTGTAAAAATGCAGTTATTATTTAAAAATGTGTGAACAAAGAAAATTGTATAACAATTTTAATTATTTCCATTTGTTCAGAATCTCATGTTTTTTTTTGTATAAAATACACCAGCAAACAGTACATTGGCTTCTTTTATCTTGTTGATATTTCCCAAATTTGTTTGTTTACTGCAGTATGGCGCCCTCGCTATGTTCGAGCACCGAACTACTCCAGGCACTTATTGGTTTGTGTATATAGTAATATACAGTAAGATATAGATACGCATGCGTACACGCACTTATTACAGTTATTACACAGTTTCTGTCCCTGTATACAGGGAGAACAGTACGAACTTTACGCTTAGTGTGATATAAATAATCTTAAAGCTTGAGATATTTTTGTGAAAATTCAAAATTTATTATGACAATCGTAGTAATGTTTTAACAGATTACTATTTAACAGAAGAACGTTCGTAAAAAATTTGGTAATGCTGGTTAACTTTATCATATTAAACCATAAAACAAATTAAATAGCACAATCATTTTGTTGATGTGAAGATTAATGTACAACAATATTAATAATAAGCTTCGTTAACTAATTAAATATTTTTCAACTTATACAAATAGTAAGTGCAAGTCTAAAATTATAGATTATATTTATTTATGATAATTATTGATAAACAAATATTTTTGTACTTCAAATTATTTTTTCAATCCTTTATTTTTAATATTAATCCATTCAGATCCTTATATAACAATCTCTATAAGAATTTAGAAATTACCTTACTTGATCATCAATCTGTTGTAAGTACACTTAAAGTTGTAAAGCATTTATGGTTATAAAATGACGTCGAATTTATAATTAGCAGATTTGAGAAAAATCTTCATTAATCTATTTGTATGTATGTATGTAAATATCTGACAAATATACTTCTTAGTATAGAAATATAGAACATAAAGATTTGAGCTTTCAGATTTGCTTACAATATATTTTGTTGCATTTAATTTACTGCAATATCTACTTAGAAACTCTTATATAAATAAATTGTTGATTAGCTATCACACATTTACTAAATATTTATAAATTATATTTTCAACATATAATACTATTCTGTATATATTTATAACAACGATATGATATAATTTGATCTCAGAGTATAAACTAATTTTTAACAAATAAAAAAAATTATTTAAAGTTAAATGCAAGAATGAATCGCTTATTTTTAAAGTTAATTTGTTTTAAACAAAGAGTAATGCAACAGTTTATAATGTTTTATCAACAATCTTTCGTAAAAAGGTGTCATTTGTATTAACAAAACTATGGCATGCTTTGTAAACATTCTTTAATATTTTGCCAAGACTGAAGACCCTAAAAGAAAAAAGAAAAAAATATTAGTCTTGTTTTCGAAATGATCAACTATTACGCAAAATCTATACCTTTCGAGATAACTTATAATGAAGAACAATGTAAGCTGCTAGTGTTTCCCGAAGAGCACTTCCTTTCTGCATTTGAAATCTTTCAATGTCTTTCATGGCTTTCTCAGAAAACAACCTAAAGTGTACAGTAATGATAAAACTGGACTTGTATACAAGTAATATTTATGTTTATCATATAGTCTACTTAGTAAACTTACGATAAGTCATAATCATTTTGTCTTACTAATTCCTCACTGTGGCTGATTTTTTGTTCTAATTGATTTATTTTTAGTTCACGAACTTCTTCAGAATCTACTGCTCCAAATAACCTTGACATAAGACTGAATTTTCCTGTCAAAAAAATTAAATTTTAAAACATAATTTTTCACAATATATCTTTTTACTTAACAAGGAAACTATCTGACTTTATAATTATCTAAGGTTTATAATTATAATCCCAACTAAAGCCCTCTATCATTCAAGTTATCTTAGGCATAAGTAAAATCAGCAATATAAATAACTGAAAAAGACAATACATCGAGTAGAAAGGTCCATGAGTATCAGACTCCATATTCAAATGTCTTATCAAAATTCATTTTTTCGAAATGAGACACCTCGATTGCACGTAAGTTTTAAAACTTATAGAAAAATCATTTTAAAAAGTTATGTTAGGTAATACTTTAAGTATCTAACCACCTTGTACGACTTTTTCCTTTTGATCATATAAAGCAACCAGGTTGTCAGAGGCTTCTTCTTTATTGAGTTGCAATGCTTCTTGGCGTCTAGTTACGGCCTGCAACGAGGATGCTCCAAACAGCCATTCTTTTAACTGATCTGCTATTAACTCTTCTTCCTCTAAAGTCGTATCAATCGTGGCAGCTAATGAATCCAAGTAATGGCCAGACTTCTGTTAAAAAAATGATTTTATTTTATGAATTTTTCACCCACGTAAGCCTAATATGGCACAAAATTTTTTAATTTTCTTTTACTTGTAGACCATCTCCCATTTCTCTTTCTATGGCACTCCATTCACTAAAAACTCGACCATAATTTGCATGCAGCTTATAGAAACTATACTGTTTTTCGGCAAGTATAGCACGAGTACGAAGTAAATTAGACAAATTATTCTGCAAAAACAAAAAAAAAACATTTATTACATTATGCTACAATTATCCGTAATATTTTGACTCTCACATGTAAATCCATTCCATAATTTTTAACTGCTTCAAAACGTTTATCTGGTTTACGAAGACGAACTGAGACACTCAACGCTTTTAATTTAGTCTCAGCTAATTGTAAATAACCTATACAAATAAAAAATTCCAATTATGCTTTCTGAAGGATTTCAAGACTTAATTAATGAACGATGAATATAATTTTTCAGTGTACCCCTTTCTTTCATAGTTTCCCTCCATCCATCTTTTTGTTGTAAGAATCCCATGAATTGCTTATCAAACGATAAAATTGGATGAGATGCTACGCTAAGTAAGAAGTTCTGCAAAATTAGTTGAAAAATTAATCAATATGTTTTAATTTCAAAGTGTTGTTAATACGAATTTAGAGCATACTTCTAATCCAGCTCGTCGTCGATCAATGAAATCGGGATCAAAAGTATCTGTAGTTACTTTTTGCCAAGCATACATAACTTTTTTCTCGGGTAATGATGGTAATACTACGTAAGGATATGCTACTTCTAAATAAGTTCGTAAACTTAAAAATTCAGTGTAACGACGCCACAAGGAGCTTGTATTTGTTAAAGCTCCAGAAAACTCAGGATTTATGACTCTATAGTTAAGGAAAGTTAAAATTTATACCAAGAATATTTTAATAAACAATATAGATAATAATGGACTTGCTTTGTTTTTATAAGATATACAGTGTAAAACTCTTTTAAATTTAAGGCTCCATTTGCTCTTTTCTCTGCTTCAACTATTGTCATTTCCATATGATCAAGTAACGTTTCCTATAAAATTAAATACTTATGTACATTTTTTGTTAATATTAATTATTTTTGGTTTGAGAATATGCAATTATTTTTACATAAAAAAAAGTAATATTTAAACCATGTCATTAGTAATTTCACCGACAGTAAATTCGATCGATTAGTAAACATAAACAGAGTTTTAGCAAATTAGGCTAAATGAAAATGGATCATAATAAACTGAAGAATTTAGAAATTATAAAAATTTGTTATGTAAACTACTTTGCTACCATGAAATTTTTTTCCTTAATACTTGAAAGATTAGTTGTGCTTTTTTTACGAAAACAATTTTTATGCTAATTATTTTTTACAACTATTCAATGTATTTAAAAATTATTTCGCACCGTTTATATGATTTCTGAAAATATTTTTTATGTTGTATATAAGTTCTTATATTACTTTTTTCTCACATGTCTCCACATCTATGAAACAGGATTGTCAAATCTTACATCCACTTTTAATTATATTAGTATTCATGGACGGTCTAGACCTCAAATATCTACATAATTTTTCTCATATATATTAAATATAATGCAAGTAAAATTTATTTATAAGTCCGTATTTAATAATTCTTGTGAGAAATACAATAATGCAGTGAGAAACAGAAAAATGTATCCAATGTTAGTATGGTTGAATTAAGATTCGAGATATCTAACCTACACTAAAAATTCGCTCAATATAAACTTTTTCTAAGTTTAAAAACTCGTAGTTTTCTGCAGAGACCTTACAGTGTATGAAAATTTATGTATAACCAATTCAGTATACTGTTTATGTGGAAATTTTAACAATTTTTTTTACCTCCTTTTGGAATTGAGTATCTTTATTAATAATGGCATTCGATGTCGATGTAGACATTTGAACTTGATAATTGCCATTTTTCTCAGCTTCTTCCATTATGCTTGAAATTTGTTATCCTCGTGTAAACAAACTGATTTTTATGATAAATGTTTTTTTGCAATTATTCTTAAATCACTTGAAACTGATATCACTCGGTTTATGGTCATGTTGGAGTTGGGCACATCTGTTTTCCACACTAATATACTACACGAGTTACACGATTACAGTAGTACAGTGCAAGTTACACGAATACAAACACATAGAAAATATACCTACACAAATCACCCCCGTAATAAAAACTTTATTACCAAAAATATATTTTTTCTTTACAGAACCAGATCCCCACTTCCACACAGGGCTTATACGAAATAATGTCAATCATAGATCAGAATGTTTCCGTGCTTACCACCACATGGTAAAAAAATAATTAGCGGCAAATTCAAACTGTCCATTTAATAGCTAAATTAACTTTTTTTAATGAACTCACGTTTTAGTTAGCCTATTTTTAATTAATTCTTTATTTTTTCAAATTCCAATATACAATTTTAACCATTTTATTCAAGAATGAGTGATAATGAATTAATGTATATGTTCTAAATACATACTACTTGTAGAATTAAAATAATTTTGAAACCAATTACAAAGTTTTATTTTTTAAAACATCATTACAAATAAAAATCTACAATGGCCTAAAAATATGAAAAAAGACAAATTTTAGTACCAGTCAATCATTTGATAAAATAAGAATGAATAATGACTACAATAGGTACTTACAAAAACAAAAACAAAATTTTCTTATTTATAAAAGTTAATTATACTATTGTACAGATTATACACACCTCTAGACAGTATTGTTAAAATATTTAAAAAATACGTCAATCTTCACTCGTTAGAAGTAAAAATATGACTATCTTCAGCAAAACGCAGGCTTGTAGAGTAGTCTCATGATTATACAAACACTTGAACCAATAATTGCCTTTCCTTTAATAGTTATCACCTAACGAACCATTGGCGTTTCTTACAATTATCAATTTCGTCAAACATTACTTCAAGATTACATAAAAAGTTTAAGTTGCGTCATATTGTATACATGCACAAGTGTTTAATTCGCTAGTTAATCATGAAAAAGAATTTTTCATGCCCAACGCAATTTAATGAAGACTGAAAACGATGTTTGACCTTTATCAGTTCTTATCGTGTGTATTTATTTTATTGTATAAAAGACTAATGCTCTACATTTAGCAGTTTAATTTTCATCTCTGTAGTATCCACGCAAGTTGAAGTAGATTTGTTATTTAATGAATAAAAAAAAAAAATTTAAGTTTATAAGTGCTAAGTGATTCGATCCACGCGATTTCAGTAGTAGTTTTGTTTTAAAAATCATGTTGTTAAGAGGATGTGTGAAAATAAGTGTTACGACTATAATTTTTGTTATAGTGCTATGTGATCTTTACAGTAATAGTGTTAATGCAGTACCAGCAAATCTTGATTATATTGTTTATGAACAGACAAAATTTTACTATGGAGTAAGTGAATTATTTTAGTAATTTAAGATAGTTCAAAGGTTATTTTTTTAAGCTGCTCTTTACTTTTTTTATATGAAAATAATTTCCTTGTGCGTGTACAACAAAAAAAAGTAAAATTTATACTATCGTTTATAACGTCCTTTTAGTGATAAAATCCAAAATATGGAAAGTATTCTACATAAAAATTGTAAGCTCGTTGTATTAAAATTAAAAATAAATAGTATTTAAATTTTTATGTACGGTAATTATTTTAACTAATTTGTAAACCCTAAAGTAAAATTCTGGTAGAAATTATATCTCAATCCCTATTTTATGTTACTCGTACGATGCAAGAGCAAATTTCGGTAAAAACGTAAGAAATGAATAACCTGCCGTAACAAAATTTCGAATGTTAACAAATATTACAATCAGAAGTTGATGGGATTTAAATGATTTTAATTGATGCACAGTGTAAAGGATAATAATTTTTTGGTCAACCGTTTAAACTTGATAGTGTCTCTCTTGTGCTATTCACTTGAGTTTCAGATTATATAAAAAAGAGTATTAAAGAAAAAATTTATACATATATATTCAAGCAAGGCTACAAGATTGATTCCATAATTTTTTATTCAACTTAGACCGTGTCATTCAAGGAGTTGAGTGCGTATTGTGACTCATGGATCATGAATTTTTACATGAAAGTTAGAAAAATGTATAGATAAATGAATAGAAAATTTATAGAAAAATGTAAATGATAATTATTTATTTTATAACAGAGTTGTTCGACAAAAAAAATATATTCCTGTGTACTGCAATTTGGTTTCGTAAAAAAATTTTTTTTAATTTTTTCATAAAAGCTATAATTTTGGATAAAAAAATCTCAAATTTTTTAAATAAATGCAAGGTATACGTAAACAAAAATTCGGAAACATCTGGTCTACAGCATACAACGAATTATTTTAGTGCTAATATAATCAGCCTAACTTACAATAAATCTTTCATAAGCAGGTTAAAAACCAAACGAAACAACATATTGTATGAACGTAATTTTGATTAAAATATTTACTAAATGTAAGTTACAGTTCTAATAACTGTGATAATAAATCCATAACTGAACTCATTCGTATCGGTTGTGTTTATATTTTGAAGCTGACACTATATTATGTATAGAAATTTAAACTATAGCGTAGTTTACAAACTACTGTAATAAATATAAATTTTTCTTTACGAAATTATATCCTTAACTTAATCCAAACGAATTTGGGTGCTAATATATTTAACATTTTCTGAAACTAAAATAATAAGTAGTAAGTAGATAAGTCTCATTTCATTCAATAAAGTATTGAGAAATTATTTTAATGAATTTCAGACATTTTTTCATACGTTCTTGTAAAACTACCATTAAACATACATTATTTTTTAAATAGAAAAACATAAAATAAATAGGAGATGGTTCTTTCAATTATGTGAATAATTTTTTTTTTTAATAAAATGTTCAAGATCATTGAATACAATCATACTTCATCACAATGGATTCTCTTCGGGACAAAATTCAATCTTTCAAGTGCTTTGGATACTTAAAATTGGGTTAGCCCGACATTTTTTTGTACTTTTTATACTTATGTATGACACAAATTTTTTTACTAAAATTGTTTTTCAGCTAATATTCTATCAATTAAGTTAGTCATGCTGTTACATTAATATCATTAATTTCAAGGGTCTAAGCCATAAATATATAAAAATAGATCATAGACTTATTTATATTCATAAATTATTTTTTCTCTATAAATTTATTCAGTTATGTAGCCCAAGATATTTTCATAGTTAGATTTTTTATTTAATAAATATAATCGTTAATTTTTCAACGTAGAAGAATTTGTAAATAGAGAAAGTCAGTAAAACAAGTAATATTTACTCCATCCATAACGAAATAATTAGGCACACGTTAAATATTACATTACATTTCACGAAATCATCCTAAAATTGACAGTAATAGGTTCATGTACCCCTATGGATCTGTCTTTGCGAACAAGTATGCTATTAAAGCGTATAAGAAAATTCTGCTGCTGTTAAAACAAAACATTTTTTTTTGAACCAACCAATTATTTGCACCTTTTTGGTAATTGATATTTATATAAATCTATTACTATTTTCTTAAACTCTTGGTTTGAAGTATAGTTTCCATTTTTTGTTTTAAATTTTTTTTATACGTTAACTGTGAAACATCAGAAGTACATTATTTGTTAAAATAATTAGTTAACTGTATTCAAATTGATATGTCACATCAATAATGTTACAAGTTAAAAGATGTCCCTGTTATGAAGGGCTGCCTCTTGTATTGCTGGTTGAAGATAGAATTCAATAATGTGTATAGTGTAATGCAGTAAATAATTTGTTTTTATAAATTATTGTTTGATTAATTAATAAATAAATCGTATGTGCTAATGTATATGCTCTCTATATTTTTACAGTTATTACTTAGTAAAAAAAACAAGCTTTCATAGTAATGTCATATTGTATACAGAAAAATATACTTTATATGTAAAGCCCAAATTTTGCAAAAATTATTCGCAGTAGAGTTTCAAAATCCACGTAAATCAAGTTTCAAAAGCTTAGCAGTTCAATAAACGACCATACTAAGTTACATGTGCCAAGAAAAATTAAAAAATGAAAAAAACTATTACATAATTAAGTGTTGAAAAATATTTTGTTGCAGCAACAAAGCTTATTATGTGATGTCCTTCATCTATTCACTTATACTCAGGAATATAATCGAAAAGCATCTTCAGCAGGAAAACTGAGGAAATTATTCTGCCAAAAAGACGAAAAAAAGGACCCTCATTTAAAAAAAAAAAAAAGTTGCAAGCAAGAAAAAATCGTTGACAGTACTAAAAAATCAACGAATGCTACTATAGACATCAAACACAATAATAAAAATGTCATTTTAGGTTCTACGACTACAACTCATTTTCCACCTCCGCAAAAAGAGGTAAAAAAACAAAATGAATCCGTTTTGCCTACTATAGATTTTAAAAATGTGACCACTATCAAAAAAATAAAAACTACTACAATTCAAGATAAAAATGACATAGAATTAACTACAAAATATAGCTCATTGCCAGCTAATCAATTTTCAACAAATCCTACAACTGAGACAAACATTAACACTACGAGCAAAAAAGCTATAACTCTGCTTTCTAATAATTCAACATTCGAAGACGACTCAACAAATATAAGTGACACAAACGGAGCAACAGAAAAAACTTATACTTTATCTACAAATACAAATATTAAAGCAACTACAACTAAAGTTCAAGAAACTACATTAGACGAAACAATACCTCAGGAAACCACTACTATAAGAGCATCCATTTCAGTTGAAAATGAAAAGCCTCCACAAACCAATACCCCTGAAGATACGACACCCAGGCGTGAAGAAATAACCATTGAAAATAAAATTTACAATACTGATTTAACAACAAAATCAAGTTCGTATCCAACAACCATTGACGATACTGTTTTAACAACAGAAAAAACTGATACTTCATCTACGTATGAAAATGTTGAGGCAACTACACTTAAAGTTCAAGAAACTACAGTAAACGATGTATCACATGGGGAAATTACTACAATAAAGGAGTCTGTTTCCAATAATAGTCAAAATCCTTCCCAAACCAATATTCTGAAAGATATGACACCAAATAGTAACGAAGCAACTACAGACAACAAAATATACCACACTGATGGAACAACAAAATCAAGTCATTATTTAACAACTATCGATGGTAGTGACAAATCGACGGATAATACTTCTAATTTATCCACGGATAAAAAAACTGAGGCAATTACAATAAAAACTAAAGAAACTACATTTAACGATGAAACATCTTGGGAAACCACTACGTTAAATGAATCTGTGTTAAATGAAAGTAATAATTCTTCAGAAACCAATACTTCTGAAAATGCTATGCCACAAAATAAAGAAACAACCACAGACAAAAAAATGTATAGTACTAAGGCTACAGTAACAACAAGTCTTAATCCAACAACTATAAACGACACTGATGGGTCAACGGTACATGCTTATACTTCATCTACTGGCACAAATGTCAAGCCCACGACAACTGAAACTCAAGAAAAAACATTTAGCAATATAGTACCTCAAAAATCTACTACACTCGGTAAGTCTGTTTCAAATAAAATTGAAAAGACTTTACAAACTCATGCTCTTAAAGATGTAACACCTGAAGAATATGGAACATCTGTAGATAAAAAAATTTACATTACTGATTTAACAACACAATCTAGTTTTTATCAAACAACCGTTGACGACATTGCCTCATTAACAGAAGAAACTGATACTTCATCCACTGATAAAAATGTTAAGGCAACAACACTGAAAATTCCAGAAACAACAGCAAACAATGTATCATCTTGGGATATTACTTCAATAATCAAAACTGTTTCAAATAAAAGTCAAGATTCCTACCAAACTAACGGTCCAGAAGATATATCACCAAAAAGCAATAAAACAACAACCGCAAACAAAATTTACCACACAGATGAAACAACCAAATCAAGTCATGATAAAACAACCATTGATGACTGTGAAAGATTAACAGAAAGAAAAAATACTTTATCTACAGATATAAATGTACAGACAACTACAATAAAAGTTACTAAAACTACATTTGACGATAAAACACCTGAAGATAATACAACGGTGGGTAAGTCTACTCTAATAAGCATTGAAGATCCATTGCTAACCAATGTTCCTGAAGATGCAACGCCACAACCTTATGAAACAACCATAGACAACGAAATTAATTATACTGATGTAACAACACAATTAAGTCAACATCCGACAACCAGTGATGATACTGTCATATCTGCAGAAACAACGAATACTCTATCTACAGATAAAAGTGTTGAGACGAACACAATAAAAGTTCCTATGACTACATCACAAAACAAGACACCTCAAGATTATACAGTTGTAGGTGAGTCTACTCAAAAAAGCAGTGAAGATCCATTGCTAACCAATGTTCCTGAAAATGCAACAACTCGACCTGATAAAACAACCGTAGACGTCAAAATTTACAACACTGAAGAAACAATAACACCAAGTTCTTATTCAACTACCAATAATAACACTGTCATATCTGCAGAAACAACAAATACTCTATCAACAGATACTAATGTAAAAATAACCACAATGAAAGTTTCTAAAACCACATTTGATGATATAACACTCAGTGACTTTACAATCGTAGCTGGGTCTACACCAACAACAACTAAAGATCCTTTCATAACCCACGTACCTAAAGATGCAACGCCACAATCTTATGAAACAACCATAGACAACGAAATTAATTATACTGATGTAACAACACAATTAAGTCAACATCCGACAACCAGTGATGATACTGTCATATCTGCAAAAACAACGAATACTCTATCTACAGACAAAAGTGTTAAGACGAACACAATAAAAGTTCCTAAGACTACATCACAAAATAAAACACCTCAAGATTATACAGTTGTAGGGAAGTCTACTCCAAAAAGCATTGAAGATCAATTGCTAACTAATGTTTCTGAAGATGCTACAACACGACCTGATAAAACAACTGTAGACGTCAAAAATCACACTACTGAAAAAACAATAACACCAAGTTCTTATTTAACTACCAATAATGACACTGTCATATCTGCAGAAACAACGAATTCTCTATCAACAGATAAAAGTGTTAAGACGACCACAATAAAAGGTCCTAAGACTACATTACAATATAAAACACCTGAAGATTATACAGTTGTAGGTGAGTCTACTCCAATAATCATTGAAGATCCATTGCTAACTAATGTTACTGAAGATGCTACAACAAGACCTGATAAAACAACTGTAGACGTCAAAAATCACACTACTGAAGAAACAATAACACCAAGTTCTTATTCAACTACCAATAATGACACTGTCATATCTGCAGAAACAACGAATACTCTATCTACAGATAAAAGTGTTAAGACGACTACAATAAAAGTTCCTGAGACTACGTTACAAGATAAAACACCTAAAGATTATACAGTTGTAGGTGAGTCTACTCCAATAAGCATTGAAGATCCATTGCTAACTAATGTTTCTGAAGATGCTACGACACAACCTGATAAAACAACTGTAGACGTTAAAATTCCCACTACTAAAGAAACAATAACACCAAGTTCTTATTCAACTACTAATAATGATACTGTCTTATCTGAAGAAACAACGAATACTCTATCTACAGATGAAAGTGTTAAGACGACTACAAAAAAAGTTCCTAAGACTACATTGCAAGATAAAACACCTGAAGATTATACAGTTGTAGGTGAGTCTACTCCAATGAGCATTGAAGATCCATTGCTAACTAATGTTTCTGAAGATGCTACGACACAACCTGATAAAACAACTGTAGACGTTAAAATTCCCACTACTAAAGAAACAATAACACCAAGTTCTTATTCAACTACTAATAATGATACTGTCTTATCTGAAGAAACAACGAATACTCTATCTACAGATGAAAGTGTTAAAACGACTACAAAAAAAGTTCCTAAGACTACATTGCAAGATAAAACACCTGAAGATTATACAGTTGTAGGTGAGTCTACTCCAATGAGCATTGAAGATCCATTGCTAACTAATGTTTCTGAAGATGCTACGACACAACCTGATAAAACAACTGTAGACGTTAAAATTCCCACTACTAAAGAAACAATAACACCAAGTTCTTATTCAACTACTAATAATGATACTGTCTTATCTGAAGAAACAACGAATACTCTATCTACAGATGAAAGTGTTAAAACGACTACAAAAAAAGTTCCTAAGACTACATTACAAGATAAAACACCTGAAGATTATACTGTTGTAGGTGAGTCTACTCCAATGAGCATTGAAGATTTATTGCTAACTAATGTTTCTGAAGATGCTACGACACAACCTGATAAAACAACTGTAGACGTTAAAATTCACACTACTAAAGAAACAATAACACCAAGTTCTTATTCAACTACCAATAATGAAACTGTCATATCTGCAGAAACAATGAATACTCTATCTACTGATAAAAGTGTTAAGACGACTACAATAAAAGTTCCTAAGACTACATTACAAGATAAAACACCTGAAGATTATACAGTTGTAGGTGAGTCTACTCCAATGAGCATTGAAGATCCATTGCTAACTAATGTTTCTGAAGATGCAACGACTCAACCTGATAAAACAACCGTAGACGTCAAAATTCACGACACTGAAGAAACAATAACACCAAGTTCTTATTTAACCACTAATAATGACACTGTAATCTCTGAAGAAACAACGAACACTTTATCTACAGATACAAATGTGAAAATAACTACAATTAAAGTTTCTGAAACCACAGTTGATGATAGAACACTAAGTGATTTTACAATCGTAGCTGGGTCCACACCAACAACCATCAAAGATCCTTTAATAACCCACGTACCTGAAGATGCAACGCCACAACCTTATGAAATAACCATGGACAATAAAATTAATAATACTGATGTAACAACACAATTCAGTGATTATCCGACAACTAGTGAAGATACTGTCATATCTGCAGAAACAACGAATACTCTATCTACGGATAAAAGTGTTAAGACAACAACAATAGAAGTTTCTAAGACTACATTACAAGATAAAACACCTGAACATTATACAGTTGTAGGTGAGTCTACTCCAATAAGCATTGAAGATCCATTGCTAACTAATGTTTCTGAAGATGATAAGACACGACCTGATAAAACAACTGTAGACGTCAAAATCCACACTAATGAAGAAACAATAACACCAAGTTCTTATTCAACTAACAATAATGACACTGTCATATCTGCAGAAACAACGAATACTCTATTTACAGATAAAAGTGTTAAGACAACCACAATAGAAGTTTCTAAGACTACATTACAAGATAAAACTTCTGAAGATTATACAGTTGTAGGTGAGTCTACTCTAATAAGCATTGAAGATTTATTGCTAACTAATGTTTCTGAGGATGCTACGACACGTCCTGATAAAACAACCGTAGACGTCAAAATTCACGACACTGAACAAACAATAACACCAAGTTCTTATTTAACCACCAATAATGACACTGTAATCTCTGAAGAAACAACGAACACTTTATCTACAGATACAAATGTGAAAATAACTACAATTAAAGTTTCTGAAACCACAGTTGATGATAGAACACTCAGTGATTTTACAATCGTAGCTGGGTCCACACCAACAACCATCAAAGATCCTTTAATAACCCACGTACCTGAAGATGCAACGCCACAACCTTATGAAACAACCATAGACAACAAAATTAATAATACTGATGTAACAACACAATTAAGTCATCATCTGACAACCAGTGATGATACTGTCATATCTGCAGAAACAACGAATACTCTATCCATGGATAAAAGTGTTAAGACAACCACAATAGAAGTTCCTAAGACTACGTTACAATATAAAACACCTGAAGATTATACAGTTGTAGGTGAGTCTACTCTAATAAGCATTGAAGATCCATTGCTAACTAATGTTTCTGAAGATGCTACGACAATACCTGATAAAACAACTGTAGACGTCAAAATTCACACTACTGAAGAAACAATAACACCAAGTTCTTATTCAACTAGCAATAATGATACTGTCATATTTGCAGAAACAACGAATACTCTATCTACAGATAAAAGTGTTAAGACGATCACAATTAAAGTTCCTAAGACTACATTACAAGATAAAACAGCTACCGTGAACAGAAGTACAATAGAAACGAATATTTTGGGGTATTCAACAACACTTAAAGCTGATGAAACAACTACAGAAGATCAAATTTATGATACAGATGTAAGTATGAAATCTCCTGTCGATCTTATTACTGCTGATATAAATGCAAAAGTAACAGAAGAGTCTTTTTCTACAATTGACTCAAATGCTAAGATTTTTTCAACTGAAGCGTCTGAAATCGTATCTGAAGACGTTACATCTGTAGAAGCCACGACTTTAAATAAATATACCCTTATTACCAAGAAAGATTCGTCACAGACAAATAAGCCAGATGACTTGACAACATCTGGAAGTAAGGAAAAACCCTCTGACATTGCAGTTTCTGATACTGACGCAACAACAAAAATTGATGTTGATGTAACAGACTTTAAAGCATCTGAAAACATAAACGTCGAAAAAACAACGATGCAAATATCTAAAACTACATCTCAAGATACAATGCTCGCAGATGTTACAAAATCAAGCGTATCTTCTATAACTGAAAACATAAGTTCTTTGCAGACTGATCCACGACAAGTTACAAAACCTGTTGATGAAGTAAAGAGTACCACTCAAAATATAAAATACGATAACGAGGTTAGTCCCAAAACAAGTCTGAGTCCAACAAGTGTTGAAGTAACTGATAAGGTGACGGCAAGTGTCTCTGGTGTAACTGGCACAGAAGTATCTCAAACTAAATTAACTGACACAACTTCTGTTACGACATTTAGTAGCCCTGTTACGATCAAAAACAATAATCATTCGTCAGTTACAAGTTTACAAAATTCATCTACAACAGAAAGTGATAAGAATCCTATTTACAAAAACAAAAATGATGTTGAGTTGACGACAAAGTCCAGTATCAGTACAGTAAAAGTAGAATTAAATGATCAAGTCACAGAGATTCAAAATTCAACTGCAGATAAAAATGTTAAGCTTACTTCTATTACTAGCTCTAATCCAAGTACCACTCAGATACGTACGTATTCACCTCAGAATCGATATATTACAACCCGACGTCCTTGGCGTCAAAGAATTCCTCGTAGACGCAGACCTCATCACCCGTATCATAGCACTGCATCTCCAGGGAGACGAAACTGTAAGTTTTTTAAGTACGACTATTGTCATTTTGCAAATTTATATTACTAGTAATAAAATATTTAATTATTATTAATATTCCTTTCATATTTTAGGCCGTAAAGTTGCTAACATTGTAGTTTGTACTTCAAAACTTAAGCCTGATATTGAAGAAATAAAATATGTGTCATCGTAGAAGTTCTTTGTTATTGAAAGGTGATCGTTGAAGACTAAAGACATTCATCATTATTTTTTTATTATTAATATTTTACTCTTTGTTATTTGTTAATAACTATTTTTAAGAATCATTATATGTTAGACTCAGCTGTTATTTAATTTTCCTTATAAAATTATTTTGTTTTAAAATTATATAAATCCAAGAAAAATATATAGATGATTTTTTTTATATAACTTTTCTGCTTACAATTATTTAACAACACTTATTAGAGTCCTCACATTGTTTAAAAAGTGATATACCTGTAATACTGTTGGTCTGATCACATATTTGTAAATTTTATGAATGTATTTCCATTACATCAAATGATAAAGCACATTATTTTTCTAATAATCCGATAACTTCCAAAACACTATAAAGGACAAAACATTGTGTACGAAATAGCTATTTAAATAGAGCGTAGTAAGACCTTTTTGACCTTAAAATATGCGCAGCCCTGGTAGGGTGAGCGTGCGCGAGAGAACGGGGGTGGCATTCCTCCTCTTTCCCTTTTTCTCCCGTTGACACCCTTTCTTCATAGAGCCACGACGCACGGTCAGACAATCGACGGCCGCATTTCTCGTTTATCAGCCGAGTACGCGCGTTTTCCTATATGACTACGTACAGTATTACTCTTTAACTACGGTAACAGTATACTTTTTAATTAAAAGCTTTAATACAAGAATAAAAAGCGCAGTATTAAATCATATTAATTGTAATTGACCTTGACTTAATAATGTTTATTTAACTTTTTCAAAAGAAAATAAGTTTTTTTGTTTTTTTAAAATTTTGTTAGTTTTATTATTAAATTCTGTAGATATAAGTGTGTAGAGTGCTGATGGTAAGAAAAATTTAAGAGTTGGCAGAAGGTCGATCAACACCGTATCAGTAACCACCTGTAGTTTCATCTACCCTTGAAACGTCGAAAACTCTTCTCAAACTACAATCTTTATCTTATACGGATCAGAAAGCATTTCCACGAAAATGAAGACCTCATCTTTTTCACTTCGAGTTATGCGAAGGGTGAGTATTTATTAATTATTATTTTTTCTCCGCAAGATTTTTTGTGACTAAAAATATAAAACTCACGGCCATTCTAAAAATGTAAAATTTGTTGTGAGGAAAATTTATAAAAAAATGTGGTACACGCTTGTTCTGAGTATAAAAATATTCACAAACACATTAAAAGAGCCATTTACGTATATTGTATAGATTATTATTTATTAACTGATTAGAGAAATAAATTGATAAATTATTGCAAATAATTATTTAACTGGAAAAAAATCTAAGTTATAAGCTCTTAAAAAACAAAAAAAAGTTTAATTTCATCCAGTTGTGTACATTTCGTAGTTATTAGAAGAAATAAAATGTTGTTATGTTTGTTTCCTTTAAATTAATTATCAGATTAAATTAATATCGATTACACATCTAAAAAATGTTGTACATTTAGAAATCTACTATTTGTTTGTCTGTTACCAACTGATTAAATCAAACGTGTAAAAATGATTTCAGTGTAATTACAACACGTGACACTCCCTTGGTGTAAAAGTAGAAATTTATTTATTCTAAAAAGAATTGAAATTAGTGTTGGTTACGTAATGATACTAATTTATCATAAGAAACTACTTCATTGACTTTTTTTTGTTTCAAAAGTTTTTAGTGAACCTTAATGGTTAATCCTTAAAACTCCTAATCGCATTCGCAAGGAACAGTTTACCATCTAAATCAGTATCCTTGAAGCAATTCCAGAATAAAAACAAATTCATTATAGAAACAAGTATAAAAAAAAATTCAAAACAAATCAAAAGCTTCTTTAGGTAAACTAAAAATTATAAAATTTTTTAGAAAAAAAGAAAGTAACGATGAACTATCATTTTCAGAGGAAAATCTTTTTTTCAAAAAACTTTTGACCTTTTACAGCTTTTATATTTTCATTTTTATCAGAATAACTCATGACTCAAATTATTGTAAATACTTCACATTAGACAAAAATATCTTATTGACGTGTTACAAACAAAATCAACCCTTGACCTGCGTTACAAAAAAGAAGCGTGAAATAGGAGAGTTTTGCTAGTTAGACAAGCTTATAAAGCATTGCTTGTAGAGCTTGCAGTTCCTTGACCACTAATTGCGCCGTGTTCACATACAGGTGCTTCAAGGTCTGCGTAGTGGTGACACGAGGGCACGAACGTGTAACCTCACGCTCATTGGAGCCAAACAGGAGGACACACGAATGCATAAACGCGTATAAGACAGATACGGATGTACAGACAAGATTATACATGATGCAGCCACGTTAATCGTGATCGCACACATACGCCCCTTTCTGCACGTGTAAATGCACTATCAATTAACCAAGCAAGGTCTTTTGTAAAGTATTAGTACGGTCATGTGAAAATAATTATTTGATAACATTTTTTAATTTTACGTGAAATAAGGATACATTAATTATAAATAAATCAACGGAAAATTAAAATCAAAACAATAGTTTTATTAATTTGTTAAAGCTACAAACAAATCGGTTATCTTGTCATTTTAAAAAGTCTCAATTGAATTTCCCTGTTTTGGACGTCGTTTTTTTATCTTTGTATGTTTACCCCTTAGTAGTAAAATTCACACCTTGTCAGTATCCAATCAGGGCAAGTACAGAGGTTTTTTAGAGCCCGTCGCTCGCCCTGGCAATATGCACCACCAAATACAAAAACTACTATTATGAAAAATATGTAGTAAACATCGTAAAATATAGTTTCTCGTGCTAAGTGCTAAGTTGTAGGGAGTTTAGTGTAGAATAAGATTTAGGTAGTTTGAAAAAAAATCATACTCAAAATTACATAATAAAAAGGCAATAAATGTAGTCTCAATATATTTAATTAACTTTCCTGGCAATGAGTTACTTTTCCAATATTAAAAGTGCTAACTACACACAACATGTTTAAATCAGATTTAATGATTCATCAAGCGAAATCGAATCAAAAAAACTTGTTATGTATGCAGTTAAATTTTTTTGATATTTTTAAAATACTATAACCAACGAAAGATTAAGTTTCTCCTCTATCAATTGCTTGCAAACTCTAATAGCTGTGCACAGTAAGTCTTATTCTTCATGTAAAAATTCAGAAGTCAACATCACGAATTGAAATTTATTTTTTATTCATTTAATATTTTAATTAATANTGCAAGTATTAAATTGTTAATCATCATTTATGAAAATAAATTCTGTAATTACTGCAGAATTCCATGACTCATAATACAAATATTGATGAATTTAATACGCTATGAAAACTGTCGTAAACTGTTTGAAAAACATAGGATAATTTTTTTAAGGAAGACACTTCAATACCTACGAGCAACTTTATTATTCTTAAAGTTTTAAGAATGAATTTCTTTGGTATCCGGAAATATAGAGTTAGTTTGAAAATTTTTAATAATTATTTAATAAATTTCATAGAAAAAATAAAAGTTTAGCTAAAGTTATTGTCTATCTTAAAAAGAATGCATCTTCATACAAATGCATTTACTCGATATGCATGTAAAATAAGCCTATTCACATGAAGTCATCCAAAGTAAGATACGGAACAAATGCAAAAAAAAGTCAATGCTCTGTTTTAGGTTTTATTAGTTTCCTGTCACGAGTCGGTTACGCACAATTTCTGGACATCGAAAAACTTTGTTTTTCCTTGTATTTACATAGATTAAGATATACGCACATGTAAGAAATTGAATAGAATAGAATAAAGGTTGAATTTATTTCGTAAGCGGAGAATCCGATATTTCGAATGACCACATGTGAGTTTTATACGAGTATAGCAGGCTGAATTTTTTAAATGTATCAAAGAATTTTTTTTTTTACCTTTAACAGCTACAAGAAAAGTTGTGACTGTAGTCAAGGTCAGGCCATTGAGATAAAAAAAAATGAGAAAAGAAAGTATAAGTGAGTGAAAGACGTTTGGAGCAAAAAAAAATTCAAAGTGAAGAGAAATAAATTTTTGTTGCACGTTGGGTGAGACCTTATTAAATAAATGAGGTTTTAATTGACAGATTTATACTTACTAAAAAAAAAATTGATAAATTACTGTTACTTTTTTAACTTTCTTGCTCATTCAATTAATTTATTTAACAGCTGTTTAATAGTCTTTATTTACCTGAGACTTTCGTTGTTAAAGTTTTCTCCGTACTAATAACTTACTTTTCATAATCGTTAATTGTAGCTATTTTTGTTACGTAAAATTTTTCTCTAAATTCCATTATTTTCTGCATAACATTTAACAGACGGAAAGCGTATGAATAACTCTATCGGAAAAAAAGGTAACATACTCTAGTATCTATTGTTCTAGTAAAATAATTAAGTAAACCTTCGTGAAGTAACCTAATAGGTTACGATATCCTTAGACAATAGTAAATGTTTGGTAAAATGTAAAAACTAGGGCAGCGTAAAGGAATTCCCAATAAAAGTAAAAAGGTATTTGTCACCCAGGCAATACTAACTTTAGACAACATGGGCTGGGTTCTGTTCGATTTTAGCATTAGACACTGTATTTTTCAAAACCGATGCCACGATGTAATTAGTCATCTGGATTGACTTTTGCAGGGCCACATTAAGACTTTCATGCGTCTATCAGTATACTCTCTCCTTTTTTTCAACAGGCTGCTACCTATCGTTAACGTCACAAGCTCAGAAAGAAATACCCGCAAGCGAAAACAATGGCATGAAGCACAATCGCGCAGAATAGTAAGATATACAAGGAAAAATACAGTATTTCATTTATTTTCGTTATTGATTTTACTATGGGATTAAAATGCATTAAAGTTTGTCGATAAAATGTTTTACCTTTCATAGAGACACTGGGATGATATTGTGAACTTAGAAAAAAATTTTCTTAAACCAGTAGATTAGCTGCAAAAAAAAATAATTTCATCAGATCTAATTAATATTTACACGTCTTTCGATAAGACCCAAGCTCTGGTAAGAAAGTCGTAAAGGA